GTGGCGGCGGCGGGACGGTGTCACGTGAGCGCCCGCCCGCTTGGGGAATCCTCGAGGAGGAGGAAGAAGAGCAAGAAAAGGAGAAGGAAGAGGAGGAGGAAGAGGAGTTTCCCGGGGGGGAAACTGAGGCTCGGGATCGAAAAGCGGCAGCGGCGAAGGGAAGGACGGCGCAGCCAAGCGCCGGGAGCGGCGCGTCCGCGGGGAAAGGCTGGGGAGGCTGCGGAAGCCCTGCCACAGATCACCAGTGCTGTGCCAAAAGCTGCCGGATTGCGGCTAATTGGCCTCCATCGCTAATTGCACTCCCCTGCTGCCCAGCACAGCTCCCGGCACTCACCGTGACGCCCCGCGATGGGCTCAGGGTGGGCGCTCTCACCCCACCCCAGAGCGGGGCTGCTCCACCCAAAACAAAATGTACTGGAACGCGAAATAAGCGAAATAAATCTTAATAAGTTTTATTAAATCAGGGAGGTGAGCAGCTGGAATACCCGCGAGGTGGCACCAGGAGAACAGGGCTGAGAGCAGGGGTGGGGCAGGAGAGGAGCTGAGACAGCACCAATGAATTAAATGTGGTAATTGTAATAAACTGAACCTCCGCCTCTTGTTTCTTTTTGCACTGAGGGAGACTCCTCACAAGATGCTGTGAGGAATCCACATCCAAGCAGCTTCCTGAGGAACACAACAAAACAGTCCCAGAAATACTGTAAGAGGCTTCACATCACAGCGATTTTTAAGTTGTATATCATTTTTCTGTTCCTCTCCTGAGTCAGGACAACCTGAAGCACAGCTCAGCACAGGGAGAAGCTCACAGGAGTATCCCCAGCATCTCCTGGGCTGTTCTGGTTTCTGAGGATTTTACTAGGAATGACACAACTGCTCTTTCACATCTCTTTCCTGCTATAAACAATTCCATACAAAGCCTTTCACAGAAAGAAATGTTTTTAATGCAAACACACTAAAAGCAGGAAAAGAGTGTCAGTACAGAAACTGATTGGAAATGATTAATGAGGCAGTAATTCGCCTGAGGAGCATTAAGAGGCTGTGAGCAATTCAGATAAGCACAAGGCACGTGCCAGCCAGGGAGCATCACTCGTGACAGCAGAGACAAAGCACAGCCAGGATCAGGGCCTGGCTGAAAACTTTCTCAGTGGGGAGGACAACAAAAATTTATTTTCCCATCACAAAAAACACAGAAAAGTCACCTCCACCCACTGGTAGAACAGAGAGCAGATAGACTTGGAGCATAAATTCATTCCCACTAGTTTTAAACTTCTTACGTTAGGAGTATAGTTGTCCCTCTTGGTGTCTGTTCCATCTTCTGCAAGGTGTCATAATCAGAAATCAGGAAATTCTAAGACATTTTGGACATGGGAACTGACAGAGCAAATTTGAAGCTTCTAAACTGTTGTAATACAGCAAGTCTGTTTTCTACTTTCCTGAATCTTTTTAACAGCATGAACTTGCTGACAAAGAGTTATGTGAAATGCAAAAGAAAACGGTCTTTTTAAAGATAAATATTTGAGACTTCAGTCTGGCTGGCAGTTCACCAGCCTTCTTCCAGATATTCCTGCACTTTGATACCAACTTCTGCAACTGAGATACTCAAGCTCCTAAAATTTGGGGTCATCCAAAAGTCCATCAAGCACCACCACATGCCACATCAGCAGAAACACAGCAGTGCTCGGGCACTTTGACGGAGCTTGCTTACGACAAACCCTCTATTTCTCAGCAATAAGTTCTCACCTCACCCCTTCCTCCAGCGAGTTCATGAGATTAGAGCCTTCCTGAACTCTTTGCCCTTGACATCTGCAGTTGTTTCGTTTCTTTCTGCTGCTCCTCTCTAGGAGGGAGAGGCTGGGACATGGAGGTACAGGCAGTGTGAGCATTCAGGGCCACTTGAGGCTACCAGCGTGGTACTGTGTGTCTTCTGCTGGTAACACTGACCTCATCTGGCTTTTTGGGATTGGTGATCCTTCCTTTCATTCCTTCCTTCCATGGGATTCTTGCTGAGAAACCATCTGTATTTTACTCCTCAAATAAAAAGGCAGAAAGAAATTAGAGACTGAGGCATTTTGTTTAGGCTTTTTTTTTTTTTCAGACATGATGAATATTCACAAAACCACTCAGGAAGGGCATTCCCAAGTGCATGAGGTTGTTTGGTGAACACCACAGCAAAAAAGATGGTCCCACCATCTAGGACACTGGTCTTGCTTTTAGTTTCCAGATCTCATGGACTCTGAGAGACCCTGTTTGGGCCTCAGTCATGCTTGGGTTTGTACTCAAAACTTGACTAAAAGAGTTATCCTAGGATGAAAAAGGAGATACCCTAGCATAAAAGCATTAATAACAATTAGACATTCAACAGTCAAATTTATAATTTCAATCTCATTCTTCACTTGGTGCTGTAGGGTAATAAGTATTTCTAAACCAAGAGCAAACTTCCTACCCAGAGAGCTCCAAACTGGTGATAATTATGCTCTAATCAAAGCAGTGCATTCAGCACACCAGTGCTAGAAATGGGAAATTCCCCCAAGCCTGTCACTGTCCAGAAAAACACTGTTTAGAGAACAATGAAATTGCTTTCAACTAAGAGAGTTCTAATTTAATAATGATGGTCTGGCTGTCAGTGGTCTGCTAATGCCATGGAGTCTGCTTCCAGACAGGAATTGCCCACTGATACTATCAGTCCTTGTAAACTGTCTTGGCTGGGAAGTCAATCATTAACTCTGGTCCTCATGCCATAAAAACATCGTATTGTAAGAGCATGACTCGCTTAAGGCTCTCACCAATCAACCAGGCACACAACAGGAATACAGCAACACATAAAAGGAGCCAGAGACTCGGGAAATCCTTCAGCTAAGGGGAGACAAGCTGCACCGAGGTTTATCTCCATGGAGAAATCCACTGACAAGGCAAACAGATGGTCAGCTCCTGGAGTAGTGCAGGCTGAGGCAGACGGTCCCGCGCCCGCGGCGGGAGGTGCTGCAGAAATGAGCGGAACAGGATCCGTAACACAAAACTCCAAACGTGAGAAGAGAGTGAGATTCACTGAAGAGTGTGCTGAAGAAATGGAGAGACCTTCAGGAACAGAGAGAGACTGTCCTGCTGCCTTTAAACCAGCAGTTTTGGAAGGAGACTCTCCAAACTCAAGGCCGCTAAGGGACACAAACTCTCCCGAAATGAGCACGTTGGAACTGAACCAGCAGCACTCAGACACAGCCACCCTGGATATGGACTGCATGATCTGCTTCAACAAGTACAGCATCTACAGAGTCCCAAAGCTCCTGGACTGCCAGCATGCCTTCTGCGCTGTCTGCCTGAAGCTGATCCTCAGGAAAGAGGAGAACACCTGGATAATCACCTGCCCTCTTTGCAGAAAACCCACCTTCGTGTCAGGAGGGCTCATCCGCACGCTCCAGAATAAAGAAGACATCCTGGAGCGCTTGGAGAACCTCGATTCAAACCCTGAGGTGTACATCTGTGCCATGGGGCTGGATGGCAATAGCTGGACTCAGAGCAGCCAAGACATTTTAAACACAGAGGAAAACAGCCCAGCACACACCAGCCTGGTTGTGCAGAGACTCGTGCTGCTCCTGCTGCTCGGGGTGATCCTTGCCATCCTCATCCTCCCCTTTATGTACTCAGGGAGGGTGAAATGGGTAATTTGTCTGCTGCTTACTCTGGGGTTGCTCATGTCTATGGTGCTTTGCTGCACTCCTAAATTCCACTGCAGGTGCAAGAAGGACTCCTCCACCTCCTGTGACAAGGAGATCCACATTGTTACTGTTGCCTGAAACAATTAACCTGCGGGTCCCAGAGATTAGGGACTGGGCCAACATGCACGCTGGGCACACCAGTGAGTTATGGACTTAAAAACAATCTCTCAGAGAATAAATTCAACAGTTGGCTGAGCTGGCTCAATGCCAATGCCCAGTGCTCTTAAATCTCATTACTGCAAACAAAATGAACTATTTATATGGTGATATTTATGTGTTTTCCACACTTTTTTTTTTTTTTATTCCAGACTAGTAATTGTGTTGGTTTGCTTTTACCATTTTGTTCATGTCTGTGTCCCCTCCTGATCAGCCCTGCAGGATGTTATCTGCAAAACCCCACGGCTGCTGTTCCCACTCTCTGAACACACAGACACCTTTCCTTGGGACTGGGTGGGAAAAAAGGCTGCTAAATCAGGGAATGGGTGTTTGGAAGAGAGTTGTTTTAGCCCAGATTACCACCTTAATCCCTGGCAAGGATGGGAAAGGGATTGGGGAAAGAGATGTCAGTTGATGCCATTTGAAGTGACACACAAAACTGGAGAGGAAGAAGCAAAACCAACACTTGAGCCTGTGGCTTGCAAAGGGCAAGGCTCAAAAACCTCATGACCCTCCAAATTCCCCACGTTATTTAGCACAGAAATAGTTCCTCTCACCTGCATTCATCTGACACCCTTCAGGACCTCTCCTCCTGCCCTTTTTACGCTGCCCTTGGAGATGCTCACAGAGGTAAACAGAAATCAACTGCTGCGCCAAACCACGTGTGATATTTTTAAATGGAATGTCTCCATTAAATTTAAATAGTATTAATTGCTCATTGACTTCTTTGTATCAATTCCTCATGGTCAGTTAATGTCAAAACAATTCCTAATTTCCTTTTTGGCAGGAATTGAAGCTGAGAAAGTGTATTAGGGGGTCTGGAGAGCTGAGTTGGTGAGTAAAGCAAAGCAGTAATGTGTTGGAGTGTTCCTTCATTTTAAAAAAATACCTAGTTGCTAAGAAGATTCCCTTAAACCCAACTAAAACTGAGGAAAAAGATGGATTTCTCTAGTTAAACTGCATGTTTAAAGAGTGTCAAGGAGCTCAGGAGACCTTGGATCAGGTAAATATTTGTGTTTGATAAGGATGGAAACTGATGTCCTGTAGTTGCTCAGTACATAAATATACGGAGTGTCTCACAGCAGATGAAACAGATTAGACTACGAGGGTAGGAGCTCTTCTGATCCTAAAGTCTTGGAAAACACAGGCTTGTTTTCTGTCAGGAACGGGAGTCTTCAGAGGAAATAAATCCTTTGGGTTTTCTCATCTCTTTGGACAGCAACGGGCTTACTGCAGAATACATATGACATTTGCTAATAACCAACTAGAAAAAAAAAGCTTTCCAGTTGGGAAAAAGGCAGGTAGTTTTAAACCCAAATACTATATTATTCCAAATGTAAAGACTGGACCACATATTTAGCTGCTCTGAAAATAATTTCAGAAACACTGGGCAAGTCGTTCAGCTCCCAGACAATATTCTTGTTGAGTTCCCTTCACCAGCACCAGTGGGTGACTGGTACTGTAAAGGTCTGTAACAAATGCATTAATATTGGCCTGAACAGATCATTCACAAGGTATTCTGCCAGCCCATGTATGTTTTCAGCACATGGGTGTGAAGAAATGAAAACAGAATGAACACCATCAGTAAAATCTGCTATTATGCTTCAACCTGTCCTTCCAAAAGAATTGTTTTATTACACTACTTTCTACAGAGCCAAAAAAAAATGGGGGCAGCAGGAAAGGGCAGCATAAAGTGTGATTTCCAGGGAGAGACTGGCCCTCTGGAAGAATCCCTATGGATCCATAGAATTATGAAGCAGCACCTTCTAAGTTTTCCTTCAGCAGTTCCACTGAAATGTTTTCAGCCTGAGAGCCGCTAACACCCAGGTGATTCAGAGTTCACAGATGCTGGTGGTAGTCATGAGGCTCTGGAACCTGGTATCTTTTGAACACATTCCCATCTGACAAGATAAGGCTCGATAACCATGCAAGACTTTGAAGGGGCAATTAAGTTTACAGAGAAAAAGCTAATGGGATTATATTCCTACTCAAAAATGTAAAGGGTTTTCTTGCACTCAAGTTTAATTCATGCTGGTCATTTTGTTAAGAAAGTTTCAGCTCTGAGGTCCCGCTTACCTTACCCGGCTAGCTTCTGATTTTGGGTAGTACACTATCTACTAGATATATTAGATATATCATACTATCTATGGCTCAAGAGAGGAGGGATTATAATGAGAAATGGGGCTAGGCTGCATTACCTCATCCTCACCATCGCCTCAGAAGATCCCGGGGTCAGCTCAGTTCCTTGGAGCATGGTGCTGACAACACCAAGATCGTGGTTTTTATCCCTTCTATGGGCCATTCACTAAAGGAATTGGACTTCACTATCTGTGGGTCCCTTCCAACTCGGAATATTCCAACTCAGCGCCCTCCATCCCCTCAGCCGAGCGCGGTTCCCGCCCTCCCTAAGCACCGGGCCGCCCTGATGGCGCAGTGCCGGCGGGGAGGCCGGGCAGGAAGGGGCGGGCATCGGCGGCCGCACTCCGTGCTCGGTTCCCGGTACGCGGTGCTTGGTTGGTGGCGCTGGGTTCCCGGTGCTCG